CTTATTATATGGATATCTAGTGAGAGATATTATTTCCGGGTTCGACGAGTCACGTCGCAAGGATATGGCACGACCGGGAAATTCCGTGGAACGAGGGGGCCACAACAACTTTCCTTATTTTCCTCGAACGAGCTCTCCCGGAAAGTGTCACCCGAAATTCCTTCCGCCATCTGAACATCCAAAGTGAGAAAAAGTTTCCTCCATATCGCATCAGTGTGTTTCGACGTGCAGGATGAAGCAGTTCGGCCTCCCCGCTTTCGCCCTCCTCTTGTTTCTCGATGAGAGTGCTCAGCAGACTTGTCCCGCTGCTCCTCCCAGTCTCTCAAGTTCGTTCCTCTCAGGAATCGAAATCGTGATTTCTTCCATATTTTAGCCGGAATTCCGTTTTTTAGTGTGTGCCTTGAATGTCGAGAAATCGGTGTTCTTGATACGTTCTCCGCGTATAGGAGATGGTTCTAGGAAGCTTTAGGTACGTATTGACACTGTTCCAGCGTTAGGAATTAGGGGGGGGGGGGGAGGATGTTGACTACTATGTTCCGATTTAATCTCAATGGATTTTTAAGGATTTCCAATGTCCAGGTTCCGTAATGTAACTTTCGCCCGCGGGTTACGGGTGGAAATAAGGAGAATGGAAACTCAGGGATAACACAATCAAACATGTATATTAAGTCTTGCAACCTCCATTAAAAACAACAGACCAGCCTCGTACTCAACACTGACGTGAGACGGACGTCCCCCCACCCCCGCCAACCCATCCCTCTCGGCCCCACCCACTACTTCCCATTCCCGCAGTCTCCGTCCACCATATCAATTTCAGCTCCTTCCAAACTTCCTGAAGTTCTCAATTGCAGAGAAGGGTTAAACAATGCGTCATCTGCTTGAGTCAACGAAAAATTAAGGCATTCCAACTTTGCAATTATCGCTAAAAAATACTGCCTTATCATAGGCCGCACTAAGAATTATTATGTTCATCAATAAATATCACACGTGATCTAAATATTGAAGAAATGGGTTACACATGGAACTGGAATTTGCAGTTGATCGATGCGCAATTACGCATCCTCCAGATCCCCCCCCCCCCACTGGCCGACACCAATGAATCTAATCATATGAACTGCATAGTCGTCCATTCCGCTCTTGATAGGCGACTTCGATGCTGACGCGCCAGAAATCTCTTTCCGCAAAGAAACAGGCTCCATAGAGAGCGATTTCATATCTCGATTGATTGTCGAATGAGTCTGTTGTTTTTAATGGAGGTTGCAAGACTAAATATACATGTTTGATTGTGTTGGCAGATGGGGAAGGTTGGGAGGCTCCTGTTTTGCATTATCTATGTGCGTATAGGTGAGAGATGGACAGGCATCGATTTTATGCAACCTATCACCAAGAAAGAGCCCTTTTTCGGCGTATAGGGATTTTTCACGAGTTTTCAGATTCCCCAAGATATTTGTCTTTTACGGATTCCCATAACAAAGGCAAAGGAAACGTCGCTTCGTTTCTCCTGAAGTTGGCGAGACGATGGCGAAATCAGACTTTCGTTGCTAGTCGCCACCCATTCTTGAGGCCAATATTTGAATTTCATTTCAAAGTCGCTCCGATTAAAATGGATATTCGTGTTAAGATCTCCAGTTAATATCAAGAAATTTTCGACTCTTAGAGATGTGAAACCCACGCGCAAACACATCAACATGCATTTCTCGCTTGACTTAGCAAGCCGCCATTATCGCACGCGCTATCTGCTTATTCATATATTTTTAAATTACATTTATTGATATTGTCATTACATTTTATTGTTAATCTCGGTTGCTTAGTACCCGAGGTCTTCTGGTTTAAATCATATACTTGAAATAGTATATTTGCAAATTGAAAATATATGCGATGCTAAAAGTTTGATACTTCATGCTTCATTCACGAAGTCATCACGCCTGGAAGGTATTCTATGAAGGTTTCCATAGAACGTGGCAGATAATTTCTGAGCAGATGTCTGGCTGAAGTGCGACATGTAAAATTTGCTTTTCAATACTGAAAGTAAATCTGGCTATGGAGTAAACGGGGATAAGCAGAACGGTGGAATCGAGGCAGACCGTCCAAAAGAAAAACTTTTCTTGTTATATGGATATCTAGTGAGAGATATTATTTCCGGGTTCGGCGAGTCACGTCGCAAGGATATGGCGCGACCGGGAAAAATTCCTGGAACGAGGGGGCCACAGCTTCCCTTATTTTCCTTTTATGAGCTCTCCTGGAAAGTGTCACGCCAAATTCCTTCCGCCATCTGAACATCCAAAGTGAGAAAGAGCATGAATATATATATGCAATAAAGGACTGAATGGGATCAGCAGAAATGAGGAATCGAGGAAGTCCATTCGCAGAAAAAATTCTTAAGAAAGGAGTAAAAAAATAGTTTTAAATCCGATTAGAAAACATATTGCCACTTTCGGATAGTCATGACTCTCGGAACTGGCGTGACTACGAGAATCCGAGGTGGGGGAGGGGGGGAGGACAACGACTTTCCATATTTTCCTGGTAAGAGCTCTCCCGAAAAGTGTAACCTGAAATTCCTTCCGCCATCTGAACGGCAGGAGAGAGGAAAAGAGGATGGAGCCATTTTCTTTGCGGAAAGAGATTTCTGGCGCGTGAGCATCGAAGTTGCCTATCAAGAGCGGAATGGTCGACAATGCAGTTCATGTAATCAGATTCATTGGGGCCGGCCGGTGGAAGGGGGGGGGGGATCTGGAGGATGCGTAACTGATCAACCGATCAGCTACAAATTAGTGTTCCATGTGTGGTCCATGTATTGCTTCAATATTTAGATCAGGTGAGATATTTATTTATGAACATAATTAGAGCGGCCAATAATAAGACAGTATTTTTAGCAATGATAATTGGAAAGTTGAAATGCCTTAATTTTTCGCTGACTCAAGCAGATAACCCTTTGTTTAACCTTACTCTGCAAGTGAGAACTTCAGGGAGCTTGGAAGTAGCTTAAATTGATATGGAGGACGGAAACTATATGAATGGGAAGTAGGGAGTGGGGCCGAGAGGGATGGGTTGAAGGGGGGTGAAACCCCAAATCTTCGAAAAGAGCCCTGATTTCCTGAGGTTGCTGCAGTGTTAGCAGGACGATGTCGGCGTCGGTGGTCGGGGGGGGGGGGGGGGGGAACGCCGGCGTTAGGCGAGGTGGGAGGTGGGACGTCTCACGTTAGTGTTGAGTACGAGGCTGGCAGATGGGGATGGTCGGGAGACTCCACTTATGTATTATCTATATGCCTATGGATGAGAGATGGCCAGGCATTGATTTCACAAAAACCCATCCCTAAGAAAGAGGCTTTTCCGGCGTATAGGGGAATCTTCACGAGTTTTCGGATTTCCCAATATATTTACCTTTCACTGATTCCCCTGCCAAAGGCACGCTTCGCCACACTGACTGCCCTCTCGTCGCTTCGTTCCTTCTGAAGTTGGTGAGACGATGGCAAAATTGAAAATATAATACGATGCTAAAAGTCGTATACTTCGTGCTTCATTCACGAAGTCATCACGCCTGGAAGGTATTATTTGAAGGTTTCGATAAAACTTGGCAGAAAATTTCTGAACACGCGTCTCGCTGCAGCGCGACATGTAAAAGTTGCATTTCTATACTGAAAGTAAATCTTGCTATGGAGTAAACGGGGATAAGCAGAACGGTGGAATCGTGGCAGACCGTCCAAAAGAAAAACTTTTCTTATTATATGGATATCTAGTGAGAGATATTATTTCCGGGTTCGGCGATTCACGTCGCAAAGATATGGCGCGACCGGGAAAAACCCCTGGAACGAGGGGCAACAACAACTTTCCTTCTTTTCCTGGAATGAAAAGGAAAATGTCATGGAAAGTGTCACTCCAAATTTCTTCCGCCATCTGAACATCCAAAGTGAGAGAAAGTTTCCTCCTTATCGTATCAGTGTGTTTAAGAGTTCGGGATGAAGCTGTTTGGCCTCCCCGCTTTCGCCCTCCTCTTGTTTCTCGATGAGAGTGCTCAGCAGACTTGTCCCGCTGCTCCTCCCAGTCTCTCAAGTTCGTTCCTCTCAGATATCGAAATCGTCATTTGTTTTTCGATTTCGGTCACAATCTCGATTTTTGTGTATTTCTCGACGTTCAATGAGAACGTCGAGACTCCATCCCTACTGTATGGCAGGGAGGGATGGGGTTGAAGGAGTGTGATGCCCCACTCTCGGAAGATGTCTTCCTGCAACTATTGTAAGATAATATAATATACAATATAAAGACAATATAAGGACAAATAAGCGTTCAGTAGACAGCTGGCGTGACCGCGTGCGTCATACGAAGTGGGGGATGGGACTGGGACCTCGGATGGGTGCGCACGCGTATACGGATTGACAAGAGTGGGGGAACGTCCGTCTTACGTCCGTGTTTTGAGTACGGAACTGGCAGATGGGGAAGATCTTGAGGCTGCAGATTCGGGAGGAAGAAGCTCAGGAAGTGCCCTATGAAGAACAGTTGGGGGGGTTTTCCGGGAGAAGCCCGATAGGGAGCTCAAAGTCGGCTGGGTGCAAGTAGGCAGGGAAGAGCTGAATCCTTCCATAACACAATGTTGTGCTTAACGGGCCTGGAATTTTTATCTTCTTATATTTACGGGAGGCCGAGTTTTCCCGTTTCCACTTTCTTTCGTATCTCGTATAATGTACGCGTACTTGAGACACCGTGGGTCCGGGTGGAGGGGGGCTTACAAAAGTTCACGTAGGTCGACAGTAAAAAGCATTTATTAATTTCTCACTTTCGACACCTCACACAAAGGTAAGTCAGTCGTCAGTGTAGGCCATTCGATGATGAGCTCTGGGTTGCTAAAAGAGCTGCATGACAGATGTCAGTGTCTTGTTCGATGGGTCGGGAGGTCGCTTGACGTTGTCTCTCTGAGGGTCTCGGAGGGAAGAAAAGGGATGACGCTTCCTGAGGGTCTGGGGTCGGTTGGACCTTGGTCCACTAGTCAGCGTGGTTTTTGGGCGATGGGTAAGGGGAATCAGCCGAGGTCGGGTTGGGAGGTCGTTCGGAGGATGTGTACTGTTTCGGGACAATGGGACTGAGGGATCGTCGAAGGTCGTCGATCAGGTCGGTCCTCGTCCTTGCTAGGGGACTGCGAGATCAATACTCTTCCCAGTACTTAACTCACATGGGGAACCTCATTTCATTCCTACTGGCCATACTTAATCACTTTCTTTCGCATAGTCTTACGGTAGTTACGTATCCTTCTCGTTCCGTATAATGTTGGTACGATAGTTACGATAAATCTAGCTAAACAATAACAAACTATCGCCGATATACATAAATTAGGCATATACGTCGAGGTGATTCCACTGCATCAAAAGGAGCTCTCAAGATCAAGATGACTTACTGATCCCGTGATATAATCAAACCCATCTTAATGAATTTCATTCATTCTTTGGGAAGACATTATTGACTATATATTGACTATGTGTCTCAATTTTCCCGGGATTGCAAACATCATTTTACCTAACGAAACTTGGTTCCTCGCAGTGACGATGCAGCCGTGCGGCCTGTCCTCGCCCGGAGCACGAGAAGGTGCGACGGACATCGAGGCGAAACAGGCGCTTCCCCCAAGACGAACCTGGCTCCACCGGGCGTGGAACGGATTCCTGAGCGGGGTCGTGGGAGGCGGGCTGCCGGAGGTGGACCCGCGCATCATCAATGGATCCCCGGCCACCATCACGGAAGCGCCGTTCATGGCCTACCTTACCACAGGCCGCTACAAGACGGGGAAACAGCACAAGCTTCCGTGCAGCTCCTCCATCATCGGGGATCGATGGATCATCACTGCCGCCCATTGCATCACGCGGGTTTTGGGGACAAAGTCAGCCCGAACACAGTCCTCTCCTTAAGCATAATGCGTCCGTGCGTCCGTCTAACTAGGGTGCTTCAGCGAAATCGTTTCCTTCCAATTATGGCGCAACCGGGAAAAATTAGAACGTTTTCATTTGAAGAACTCAGTTCTAATGCAAACGTAAAATAAGTGTAATCAGTTTAAATCCTACAGGATATCAAACTTTTTCAAACTTAATTACTAGGTAAAATTCACGTTTGGTATGAATTGAATGAGAAATGGAAATTTGAGGGCAAATATTGTTTCCTCAATACCGACATTAATCTGTTACTCATTCGCTTCACCCCTGCCGTCCGTTTGCATCGTTTCAGGAAAGTTCCTCCGGAGAACGTGAAGGCGTGGGTGGGGAACGCCGACCGGAACGCGGGCACGGAGTTCCTCGTCGATTCCTACAGGGTTCATCCGGAGTGGAATAAGAGTGAGACGTTTCCCGGATTATTCCGAAGAGAAAGTCGTACGAACAGCGCCCAACGCAATGTTTGGCGAGGTTCAATGCAACAAACGGAAAATAAGAAAATAAGATGCGTGTGGCCCCTTCCCTCATGAACATGGGCATTAAAAAAATTAACATTTCAACGATTCTTGAATCCGAACATGTTGCTCTACTGGCGTGGACGCTTGCAAATGTTAGGATTAAGTCAACCGAGACGTATGGATTCGGAAAAGTTACTGTTACTGGTAACTGGTTACTGATAACGGAATGCCTTTGGTCTCAATGGCGTTAAGAATAGTGGCAACATTATTCCAGTCGTAATCTTGCAGAGGGCGAGAATAAATTTCTTAAAATCCTGACCAAATGAGAGAGAAGGACTCCGCTTTTAAGGCGAAAGTGATAAATGTGCCAGAAAGTTCTTTGACCGTACCATAGGGTGGCTTTGACACTGTGTGCAAAATATCAAAGTGACTCAATCCTCTGTTCATTTTAGATTAGCAGCGGTATTGACGAAACCGAATAGGATTTCGCTAATATAAATTATTCCTACTTTGTCTAACGACATTTCCCTTTCCTCGATCGACAGATAAACCTTATTCCTCGGCCGACATAGCCATCTTGAGACTGGCAACCAATCTGACCTTCGGGCCGACCGTCCAGCCGATCTGCTACCCGACGTCGGACGAGATCGGGAGGGGAGCCGAGACGTGCGACCCGATTCTCTACGGCTGGGGGAGGCTCCGGTTCATAAATACGCAAGGATCGCAATACCTGCAGAAGCTGGACGCGAACGTGACGGATAAACCGACGGAAAAATGCAACAAATACTCCGACCAACGGATCATTTGCGTGGGGGGAAGAGTCCCGTCCACTGGTCCTTGCCACGTGCGTATCACTCTCGATTGTCTCTCTTGGAGCCACGAAACGATATCGATATGAACGATAAAAATAAACGATATAAATGTTTTCTACGATGAGGGGGCAGCGTCCAACGAACAGATTTCATGTCAATCGAGGGAACCACTCACTAAGTCCATCGACGGTTGCCACGTTAATGACCTTCCCAAACGATGCTTTCTTAATTCTTGAGAATGACAATGTTTCTATTGTTACTATTAACGACATGAGTGAGCGAGTGAAAGACCGACCGACTGACTTACTGTCTGGTCGGTGCAATGTCAAGAGGAGATGGATTCTGACATTTGATACGCTACTTAATTTTGAGGTGCTGATTCAGAAATAATTCGACATTTCGGGGATAAATGCATGGTTCCCTTTTGAAGAAAAAATATGTTGTTTGACATACCGCGATCATTCCGATTCATTTCTCTTAATTTCTTTCTCATTCAACTCCAACATGTCTTCATTAGCTTATTGCTGTTTTCATGTGATCGCAGGGAGACAGCGGTGGACCCTTGGTGCTTCGATACGGCGGTGTGGCCTACTTGTCCGGAATCGCCTCGGCGCACGGATCCGCCCTGCCCAAGCTCAAATGCAAGACCATTCCTTACGTTTACACGAGGACGTCTTCGTTCGCCGATTGGGTCAAGAGCACGATCGACTCCTGGAACTGAATGCTCCGCGTTTCGGATGCGCTTCTTGGATGGAGGTTCGAGCCTCGATATCACACTCCATTAAGACCTGTCCATTAAGGATTCTCTTCCTTCTTACTCATTCTTCCTTCAATCCTGCTGATCAACACAGTCGACAATTCCAGTCTCCGATGGTTTGTCGACATAGGGTCTCATTATTTTTTTGGATCTACCTGGGTGCACATAATATATCAAATAAAAACTTTTTCTCATGATGAACCTATTCTTGAAGAAGAGAGCGTTTATTTTCAAGGAACAATATGCTCGATTCCAACCATTCATGGAATGTGACGATCGAGTTTCTAGGAGATTTTCTTTACAAGGCTCGTGTACCCCTCGTACCACATAACATTGATTTAACGTTGATTTGGCGCGAATCGAATGCATCACAGTTCAAGGTTAATACGGCTAAGTTGGATCAACATTACTTCAACGCGATGACCATCACCGGTTATATACCCGCATTGACTCAACTTTCAATCAATGCTACACTGGGTTTTGTTATTGCTTGCGACCCGACGTCTCGCTGCATTGCCACATGGGAAAATTGCATGTTCACTCCGAAAGAAAATATTGCTGTGGATTTGAGGGCGAATGTGAATGAGCAGAATAATGGAATCGAGGAAGTCCTTTCCCATAACTCCAAATCGCGAAGAATAGCTTTTTTTATTACGGAATTCCAGGGAGAGATATTATTTTCGCTTTCAGCAAGTCACGATTCTATGATATGGCGCGACCTGGAAAATCCTTGGAACTGGGAAGCGAGGGGCCCAACGACTTACATTATCCTCCTCGTATGAGCTCTCCTGGAAAGTTTCCCTGTAAATTACTTCCGCTATCAGCATGAGCTGGAAAGAGGAAAAGATTCCTCCAATCGTTGAATAGTGTGTTTCAGTTATCAGGATGAAGCTGTTCGGCCTCCTTGCGTTCGCCCTTCTCTTGTTTCTCGATGAGAATGCTCAGCAGACTTGTCCCGCTGCTCCTCCCAGTCTCTCAAGTTCGTTCGTCTCAGCAATCGAAATCGTGATTTGTTCCATATTTTACCCGGAATCCCGTTTTTAGTGTGTGCATTGAATGCTGAGAAATCGGTGTTCTTGATACGTTCTCCGCGTATAGGAGATGGTTCTAGGAAAGCTCAGGGTACGTATTGACACTGTTCCAGGGTTAGGAATTAGGGGTGGGGGGGGGGGGCTTCACTACAATGTCTCACGTTCATTCCTCTCAGTATTTGAAATCATGATTTGTTTTTCGATTTCGGCCGCAATCCGGATTTTGTGTATTCATTGAACGTCGAGAAATCGTTGTTGTAGACTGCTTCCCCGGATTTAGAAGATGCTTCACGGAGAGCTTAGGGGACAGAATGATACAGTTACGACACTGGGAGGAGTAGGGGTGGGGGAAACCTGTCAGGCCCAATCTCAAGAAATCTCGAGAGACTCCATCCCTCCCGTCAGGCCAGGAGGGTTGGTGTAGAAGGGGGGAGAAACCCCTGCTCTCGGAGACGGCCACGTCTTCCTGCAGCTATTGTCAGATCAGCAGCAAGACAGTGTAGCGTTTGGTAGACCTCGGGCGAGAGAACGCGGGCGTCTTACGAAGAAGGGGGAATGGACCGAGGATCGGTGCGCGCGCATATCTGGATTGATGGGGGTTGGAGAGCGTCCGTCTTACGTCCGTATTATGAGTGCGGAGATGGCAGACAAGGTGGGTCCGGGTGGAGGAGGGCTCAGAAAAGTATATGTAGGTCAACAGTACCGAGCCTGAATTTATTTCTCTCTCGACAGCTCACACAAAGGTAATTCGGTCGTAGGTGTCTGCCAGTCGATGAAGTGTTCTGGGTTGCTGACGGAGATGCATGGCGTTTCGGACAGTTATTGGTATCTCTTTCTATTGGTAGGGAGGTCGCTTGTCCTCGTTTCTCTTAAGGGTCTAGGAGAGAAGAAAACGGATCACGCATCCTGAGGGACTTCATCACTTTCATCCTTACTCACTCTTTATCACCCTTACAAAAAGGGACACATGAAAAGATTTCAAGTTAGGCACACTAGAAATAATAGAAGTAATGATTTTGATTTAAAAAAAATGAAGGCTTTCGTCCTCATCTGTCACGTATTTCAATGGGGACGTACTTTAAATACGTGTTTGCCATTTCGCAAAGTATGAATGAATTACTCACTATCCAAGGTAATGGAGCGCCGAAGGCGCGACCATAGCGAGTTTGTTTGTCCGAAGGGGAAACAAACTAGCTAGTATATTATCGTTATAGGTACTCACCGCATCCTAACCACCAAATCTTGAAATGAATAAGAGTTGTCATTGGTTCGGCGTTGGCCCATATGAAACGACCCGGACAACTAGACATGATCTCGATGGTTCGCGCGTCCGCGTCGGGTGGAGATGGGAGGAAAGCATGTGTGGTATGCCAGATGAGCATTTCACACGTACGTCCAACAACCCTGTCTGGGAGGCCGGGAGCAGCCGCTTTCTCCCATTGGATACCATGGATCCATCAGCTGCCAGGGCTGGGAGGGAAGTGGATGTTTTCGTGGAAGTCGAGCACCCCGACCCGGGCGGAAAGTTGCGCATGCGCATTGGGCCGTGCATTCCGGTAATTATGGTTACTGCGCACTGACGGAATGGAATTATTTTCTTTAAATTGACAAACCAGCAGCAACATCTGGCATTTCCCCGTAGTACCTATGGTATTGCCAGATAATAAAAAACTACGAAGCGAATGGTAAGCGAGGGAAAGCACGGGAGCAGATCGACCCGCGGAATGGCTCGCCCTCGAGACTGATCACGAGCGAGGATAAGGCGAGGATAGGACATCATCGGGGATAATCGGGCACCGATTTAACTCCCAATCAGGAGTCGTACATATCCTCAACTAATGGCGGTAATCCTATTATGTGGATTCTTCTGGTCTCAATGCCCAATGCGATTGCAAACCTCTTTCTTTAAAGTAGATTTTTACGTGTGAGTTATTTTATGAAGACCATGCCTATGTCCTTGAATAAACAACCAATTAGAATGGTCGTCCTGAAGTCTGTCAAAAAAAAAACCATGGAAATGAATGAATTTGATCATGCCCCCAAACAGGTCTCCGTTAATTCCCAAAAGGGGGACGTTATCTTGTTAAAACCTCTTGAACGTTATCTCGAGTATGCAGCGACATCGGTGTACTCGATGACATGAGACATAGTATCATTCTCCACATGAAAGCATTTTCTCGCATAATTTTTTTTTTTTTTTGGGGGGGGGGGAGCAAAATTGCCCAGGAACATTTTCTGCAGAACAAAATTGAGGCGTTACTGGGGGAAAGAAAAAGCTATCAAGAGAGCCTGATGGAGTCTCTGCGAAAAGTTTCTGCGAAGCATGCAAGTACTAAGACAATCTATTCCGATGAAGACATCGATACGAAATATCCGATGGTTTCCGAAAGATTATCCGGTGAATAGATTAGGATTCTCCAGCCAAAGGATGCCAAATAAATTTCTTCTCCATAATGCGAAGCGGTACGGCCAAAAATAGTTTCTCGCGAGTGTTTTACATATTCTTTGTGCTTCTGCAGAGATAAGAAGTCTTAACCGATAATAATAATAATATTAACTGGTTCCTTCAGAGAAAAATAAGATTTAAAAAACTTGAAGTGAAATTTTATGCAGTAGAACCACAAAAGAAAAACCAAATACACCAGTACAAAAGCCTCGGCGAATGCGAATGAGAAATTACTCCCTTCTGGCTGCGGAACTCTGCATTCCCCCTCGAAGGCTGAAGAAGGGCTGAAGGAGGGCTGAAGGAGGGCTGAAGGAGGGCTGAAGGAGGGCTGAAGGAGGGACTCGGTCCATTTTCCAAAGAATTTTCCTTAGGTGGAATTTTTTATTTATTTCGCGAACGTGATGCGATCCGCATCCGTGATGTGATCAGATGATTTCTTAGCGTTTATTTTTCTATCGATTTCGTGGACAAGATTTGTTAAGGCAAGATAATTGCTGCAATTTTTCGGGCATGCGTCTCTTTTTTTCAGTTTTCAAATAATTTTTTTTCGAAATCATTTTTTACAATTCCAAGTCCCCCTTGGTAGCATCTGGCACAAGCAAATCTGCAGCCGGGATTACGTAAGGTATTTGACGCTGCACCGACGCTGCACCGACGATGCACCGACGCTGCAGCGATGCGAACTTGAAGTAAAAAATTGGAAACGATCAGGAAAATGAAGCAAAGCCTGCGGGTTAAATGGAAGTTTCTGGCGAAAATTATCGGCCGGGACGGGCTGGTGCTGCCCGTGATCCAGGGACGCTCAGCGGCGCCTGGTGCATGCATTCAGGCGCGCCTGTTCTGCGGCCAACGTCATCGAGCGTGGACATGGTATGTATGAGTAGCGGAATCAGGGCTGAAGGTGCACCACACCATTTAGCAAGTGCTAGTGATACAGTTAAAAAAAATTGCATTTTACTTTCCCTCAGCATATTTTTTCCTATGCATATTTTTTCCTAAGCATATTTTTTCCTAAGCATATTTTTCCCCAGGCATATTTTTCCCTAGGCATATTTTTCTCCCTAAGTATGCTTTTTCATTCAGAGTATTCCCCTCCCCAAGCATATTTTTCTCTCGCAGATTCTTCCTCACTACAGCCGATTCATTCCCGTTCATTTTTCTTTCCTTTGTCTTCGTAAACTACTGCGAGGAGTCTGTCGCATCGACGCAAATATCCATCACCTTTATGTTGCCAATTTGCCGTTCAAACGGAAAGAAAATCAAGCTCCGTTATCGTCAAAGCTGCACGATTATCTTGTTCCGTTTCAGCCATCACATTTTTGTAAAATTAATTAAATTAGATTAAGTTTCGGCTCAATGCATTTAGAGGTCATTCCACGGCGCTTTAAATTAAATAGCCCCGAATTTTATTTCGGAAGTGGTTCATACCATCAGGGATGAGAAAATCGTCGCATTTTAATCGCGAATTCGAGTTATGAGAAATCGTCAAGTGCTTCGTAATCCCTAATCCAAATCCCGGTAATCCAATTGATCGCAAAATCGTTTTGCCACGTCCGGATTTCCCCACCGAGGCGAATTCGTCAAAGCGAGGATCTCATCCGGCTTGACGCGCGATAACAAACAATATGTATGGTAAGCAGATCGTGAATATGGAATTCATCATTCACGCTTGGAAGCGGCGCGGAATTTCAATTTTTCCTTGAAATTCAAAAGTAACAAGTGGA